CCTGTGTCATTCGTTAGCGTCGCCCCGTAGACTCGATGCTGATACCAGTTTCACGCGCGTGTTTGCCAGGGGAGGAAGAGGCCGAAATATGTGTCTGATTGTCGAGGGTCGAGGGGTTGAGGGTGGCGTGCAAGTGGCCGCCGGAGGAGGGTTGGCCGCCCTGGTCGGGGAAAACCTAAATAAATGAGAAATTGCTTTCGTTTGAAAATGAAACATTGAAATATTCACGTGAAAGCCGAGGGGCATCCCTTAAACCAACCACCCCCCGCGCCTTGCTCTCGTCCCTGCAATCTTGTGCCATGCCGCAGTAAATTTATCTCGTGAGCCCCGAGGTTTGCCATTAAAAATGCAACCCCGTACTTTGCGGCTACGCGAGAACTTGAATACAGGTTAATCAGCGGTGACGCGCAGTAATTAAACACGGGACCTGATTACCGTCAACGTGAGTGCATCGTGTGCATCGTGTGCATCGTGTGCATCCCAGCCCTATTCTCCAGAGGAATAACAGGGACCTCTGTACGAGGAGAATCAGATAGATGGAAGAAAAATGGAGAAACGTGAACCCCTCGGGAGGCTGGTTGTACATAATGTATCCTGGCTAGCAACCCATGGGGGTCCTACCCTTGAAATTTGCCAGAGACAAACCGGAAACCCTCTCAGAGTCCTGGCGCTCAAGGACTCGACGAAAAAGAAGGAAACCCCTGCGCTTGCAGTATTTACATGAGCATCAGGCGCAGCTGTCGTTCATCAATAAGTTTCTCGAAGCCGCGTGGATGCTGGAGGCGTTCGTGAATCTATCAAAAATTGACAAAAATTGATGAAGCTACTGTCGAGGAAAATTGTAGGAAGAAACGATAGTGCATCGGATGATTGTGAGGTGCGGTGTTTCCCGATGTTTCCGGTGATGCTACCGTGTACCGACACGCGCGGATTTTCGGCTAGTTGAAGGTGGAAAAGAAGAAGAGAAAGATGTTTACCTGCCTGTGGAATTTCTTGGACTGGTAAGGAATCTCGATAAATGATTGAGTCGAGTGAGAATTGGCTTTTATCAAGATAAGCCTGTTAATTCATTTCCCGTGTCGACGAGCCGAATGATCGATGACCCCGCGTGCACCCGGTATAACAGCCAACGATTTTCACAGTCGTTGCTCATAATTTACGTGGAATTCTATTATCTCCTGGGAGTATCCCCGTAAACTCTTTAGCTAGCTTCCCCCCCCCCGTCCAACCCCCTAACGAACTTTCCCTAATTTAATTGATAGGCTCATTTTTTGTTTGCTTTCTGGAGGGGCGTGGGGAATCGGTTACACTCGATCGATCGATCAGTTTTTCCGATTGACTTTTTTTTTTATTTACACGTGGCAACTACTCGCTTCCGGTCTTGTCTATAGACCGAGGCTCCGAGAGCTGTGAACTTTTTACTTTAAACAGAAAAATGTGGCAAGCTCCACTTTAAGGCGGAACTTTATTATTATTATTCTCCCTTTTTTGTACTTTTATCTTTTCCCCGGTGTCGCTCCGTGCCGACGCGAGTCCTGAAATGAAGACTCCTCTTAAAGCCGGCTGCGTGTAAAGTCTGATTAAATCCGGAATCATCTCTTTGATGAGGATGGAGCTTTAAAATTCACCCTCTAACATTTCCTAACGTGTAAGCGACGAATTCCGTGAAATCGAGCGTGTCAGATTCTTTTTCTTTTTTCTCCTTTTTTTTTCTCATTTTTCCTTCGACATTTCTCTTCGAAACCTCTTTTTTAGTTTTCCAACCGAGACGCCTCGAGACGCCTCGAGACGCCTCGAGACGCCTGCCATCCCTTGGAAGCTTTTTCTTCTCCTAGAATCATCCGTTGACCCTTCGAATTTTCTTATACTCAAATTTCGAAAAGAGGGTAGTGACTGTTGACCCGGAGAGATGTTATCCCCATAATAGGGGGACGAGAGGGACGATATTTTCTGCGGATAATTTGTATAGGGATTTCGAATACATTAGTACCCTTACGCTCTGCTAGGTTAATCGCGATGCACGAGGGGGGCGAGGAGGGCTGGTGTGTGCCTTACTAAGACTACAGGGTTCCTTAACATATTTCTTGGAGAAAATTCATTTGTGCCTCCCTGTGTGACCATTGCTCCCCCAGCATCCGCGTCTCCCTTGCTCCCATGACTGCTGGTTTGTTTCGCGTCCTGGACTGCGTGCTTGGTGGGATGCTGCTTTAGTCTGAAATTGCTGCTGGACCGATCGGTCGACAGCCGCTTGAACATCCTTAGATACCGAAAGGTGGACACAGAATTCTCGGTCCTCGCGCTGAGCCAACCTCGTCTTCGAATCACGTACGATTCATTAGGGCATCAGAGCTTTATCACGCATGGGACTCGTTTCTTTGCCGAGGACGAAATTTCCTGCAGGGGTCGACATTTCTACGCGTACAGTTGGGATTACTTGTATAAATATTTATGGGAACTATCGGCGAGGATTTTCCATGGACCGTTCTACCCTCCCCTCCATTCTCTCTCACGCGCCGGAAGAGCTGATAACGCAGACTGGATACGCCAGGCACATCCGGTGCGCCTGCACGATGGACGCATCGGTCCATCCTGTTTTACTTTTCAGGCGCCTTCCGAGCTCCTCGAAGCGTCATTAGACGTGAGTTTCCCGATAGTTGCTGATAGGAGGCCTCGGGGTTAGCCTCCCGGACTTCCGGAAACTGCTTTCCCGGCGAGTTGCGCTGCCAATTATACTGCCGGAGCCCCGGCACTCGGAGTTGCGGGACTTCTTCGATGGTCTTTTTCAATGCCCATTCCGCTTGTCCGATCTTTCACTCGGAAATTCCGGAGTTACTTCTCCGGTCCCGTTTCTTGGTACGGGGGGAGAGAGAAAAAAAAAATGTAATTCCGTTCCGCGCGGCGAACTCGGTGCTCCTATTGCTGAGAGGATCCGCGGGACGGCGCAGTTCGAAACGAACGATAACGACCACGCGAAGCCCCGCATTGCCCGGCTGATCGAATTACCTGCTTCCTGCTATGGTGCGGTGTTACTTTGCAATCATTATCCAGGCGCCTCCACCCGCCCCCCCCCAATCTTATTTGAATTTTCACTCAACAGTCGATTCGTTTCTTCGATACGCGATTATCGAGATGTCGGATCCCGTCGGCAATTATTCGATCTTCCCTGAGGTGCACCTGAACGTAAGCACATCGTGCAGTATATTGAAAACGAGAGTGGTTCAGCCGAGGCGATGGATTTCAGGCACGTGAATCTCGATAAGCTCTTTTAATAATTGAAGAATAATAATACACAGCCAGCACGGGAATAGGATAAGGATAGATAGGACGTACGCGGAGATTCCGTAGACACGTAGGGTCATACGCGAAGTCTCGGTGCTCCATATATCATTCGTTAAGAAAATTTAATTTCTCTCGAGCCGCCACCCTCGGTCGCACTGTCGTCGTCATTCGATTCGCTCTGAATTTCAATATTATCGAGCAGTGAGAATTATTCCTGCCTCAATTCTCCAGCCTCTTGCTCTATCTGTCATTTAATTGTCACGTTAAAAGCCGATTTCTTTGGCAGAGCCTGTAAAGGGATTCGCAGGAGCTTTAAAGTCGCGTAAAGCGCTTGCGCTCGCGTCAAGTGCCAAGTGCCAAGTGTCAAGTGCCAAGTGGCAGTGGCAGTGGGTGGGTGGGTGGTCCTTATCGTTAATCGTACGCGCAACGTAACGAACGTAACGAACGTAACCAACGGGCACAATTCTCTCGGGGAAGCAATTGCCGCTAATCGGTCTGGAAACTCGTTTCCTGGCCGTCTACCATCTACACGTATCTATACGTAATACTTATCGATCGAAACTGCCACAGGACGCGTTGGCCTTTGATGTCTTACCGATACTTGGGGAGATCGGTAGAGACTTGGCGAGTTATTTGCTCTCTATAGCGATTCACTGCAAATGCTAACTAGAACGTTTTTTCTATTTCAGGCTCGAGCAGCCGGTGACCAGCTCAACTCCCGGTATGGACGGTAAGAAGGTAAGAATTTTCAAAATCAAACTCGGACTTTTACTTTAATCTAGCAGGAATTTTCTTAGCGTAAATTGGATTTACGGCGAGAAACACGGAGCTCCGATACATGAACGTTGGCTCGCGCGAGCTTTCATATTTCAAAGCTTATTGCGACTCTGTGGCTCCGAATTGAGATTCTCTCTCTCTCTCTCTCTCTCTCTCTCTCTCTCTCTCTCCCCCCTCTAGGCGTCTGGTTCTCCAGTTCCTCGTTTCCGCAGTCCATACAGTCTTTTACACGATTAATCCTCTTTTTATCCTCCTCACGCCCTAACCGCGTTCCACCTTCGTTCACATTTTATCCCAACGATCCTCGTAGACTTTGGCTCTCTTGCCAGGATTACCGAAGCAACTAAGACTTATGGCTTTAATTATAGAGTTAGTAGGATTCCCAAAGTTTTTTCTGATATCCGATTTTAAATTTCGCTTAATCCTTTTAATGCCTTTCGGAATCTGCGCCAAAGGTACAGTCCGTAGAGACGAAATCGTCAGGCTATTTTCATCCCAGAAAATTTGTCCGAAGTTTTCAAGGTACGTGCAACTGATCCCGTAATTAGGATCTCGTTAAAGAAATTCAAGAGCGAAGCTCCTTCCTATAATGTTTCTTGATTTCTATTCAATTCGGGCCTCCAGCTTCCTGTGTTTCCCGCGCAGACTCCGTGCCTGAGATACGTGCTACAGAAACGGGCAAAGTCGGTAGGAGCCGTAAAATTCCGAGAGACACCTTACGGAATCATTTTTCTTCTGTCTCCGAACCGGAAACCATCATCCCAAAGCAGAGACACTCTCGCTGGATATGGGGAAATGTCGAAGGTCCTGTGCTGGGATGAGAATGATCGGGAAACAGCGGCATTATCCTTGACGGACCATCGTCATTTTTTAACGAACAGTCACAGGTGCGAGACTTATTTATCTTAGGTAATCTTCTACTTTATTCAAATTGGCCGCGAATTCACCAACAGCCGATTCGCAATTCCTCTCTCTCTTTCTCCACGTAGTTCGCTGCCCTCGTCCTCCTTCCTCTCGTTTCCTGATAATGTCTCGTCGATTACGTAAAATGGCCTTAAAGTAGAAGCGAACGGTAGTTTGGTCGTGTGTAGCAATATCTAAGGGTCCCCTTGGCTCTTGCCACGTGCTCTCTCCCTGCTCCCCCCCCCCC